CGTCGGATCACAATTCTAATCGGCTCATCGCGATGCTGTCGTGCATTCGGAAATTGATGGAGAAAATGATCCTTTTTCGCCTCGACAAATGGGTTGAGACGAACCACCTTCTTTCAGATACTTAATTTGGTTTCCGTAGGGGTAAGGGAACGAACGACTGTCTCGCGTTGCTTTCCTCGGAAATTCAGTTGGCTTTTGCTAAGAAAGAGCAAATGGCTTCTGTGTTCTTGGATATCAAGGGAGCTTTTGATTCAGTATCCGTTGAAGTTCTTTCAGTGAAACTCCACGCTTGTGGATTGTCTCCAATAATGAATAATTTTTTGTACAATTTGCTGTCAGAAAAACATATGAGCTTTTCTCATGGAAACTCTACAGCTTTTCGATTTAGCTACATGGGTCTCCCCCAAGGCTCATGTTTAAGCCCCCTTTTGTACAATTTCTACGTTAGAGAAATTGATGACTGCCTTAGTGACAATAGCACGTTGAGACAACTTGCAGATGATGGCGTAGTGTCTATCACAGGGCCAAAAGAAGTTGACCTGCAAGGACCCTTACAGGATACCTTGGACAATATGTCTACTTGGGCTATTCAGCTAGGTATCGAATTCTCCACGGAGAAAACTGAGTTGGTCGTTTTTTCTGGAGCTAAATCCTTAAACATGTTTTATGACTTTGTACTACCTCTATTTAATATAGGATGTCAGCCCTTCAAGAAATAATCCCAATCGTGTAGTCTTCTCCGATTTCGGCAATTCAGTGAATTTTGGTTTATCTATGACGCAGGAAATCCACGGAATTGCAGAGCATCATCGTCCTATGATTGCTCCGTCATTATACGCTGCAAAGTTTGGCCATGTTGATTCTGCAAGAACGTTTTTCACAGATGGATCTCTAATAGAGGAGTCCGGTGGTTTTGGTGTATTTAATGAATTTCATAGCGCCTCTCGAAAACTTGAAGCTCGTTGTTCTGTGTATCAGGTTGAACTGACAGCAATTCACTACACTTAGGAAACTATTGCTTCACTTCTTCCAGACCACTACTTTATTTTTACGGATAGTCTCAGTTCTGTCGAGGCTATCCGTTCCATTAGGCCGTTAAAGCACTTCTCGTATTTTCTCTTGAAAATACGAGAGCTGCTTAGTGCTTTATCCGTGTGCTCTTTCATCATCACCTTCGCGTGGGTCCCTTCGCATTGCTCAATTTTGGGCAATGAGAAACCGGATTCACTTGCGAAAGTGGGCGCTATGGAAGGCGACATTTATGATCGACAAATCGCCTATAGTGAATTTTTCTCTATTTCCAGAACAACATGTGAAAAGGGCATACAAGCTTTTTGTAAACAAACCTTCTTATGCCCTTTTCTCGCCACCCATATGACACCAACGCAAACCTTTAACATCATCGGGTAGGGGACACTTTCCCCTTCCCGATGATATTGCTGGTTTGCGTGGGCGACCCTCGGTTGGTGAGAAAAGGGCCTACAAAGGTTTGTTTACAAAAAGCTTGTATGCCCTTTTCACATGTTGTTCTGGATTTATCGTCAGCAGTCGCTCGTTAGCTGGCAACATCAATGGAATGAAGGGAGCTTGGGACCAGGGCTCTACATTTTCGAAGCTCTAAAATAAGCTCGAGTTTTGTTTCTCTCATACAAACGTGTTCAACGCTTCATTTCTATAACGCCTTGCTAGACTATCAGCAAGAAATGATAATGAAAAAGAAGCACGCTTAGAAGGAAACGCTGACTGTGGATCTTCTCGTCGTTGCTTTGCTCATCGCTTTCAATGTAAGTAATGTCGATTTTCTAGTTAAACGAAACCTCATTATGGCTTTCAATTCCCTTTCACGAACACTATATCAACGCTCTTTCAATTTGTTTAAAATGCGTTATGTCCCGTTTTCGTTAATTTTTGTTTTAGATAAATATGTGGATGGAAGATAAATTAAACATATTACGTGTAATCTTCAAGTGGTTTCACGTGAGAAATGCTTTAAATATGTAATTTCATTTTCCGTCAGATACGTCATGAACCCTCTGTTGATGTGTTTCATGAAAGAGAAAACTATCAAAGTCGAGCGCTCTTTCGCTCATCCGTTTCACCGAAGCATGAAAGGAAGTCCAATGGAGCGACGGGAGAAAGAGAGACAAGCGATTGAACATTTGTTTGTGCACGCCGACTGAGGTTCTAGAATGCTGCGAAGCTGTTCGACTTAAACAGAAAAAGAAAGCCAGCAGTCTCTTCGTCGCATCGATTTGGTCGATTGAAGCTGATATTGTGACGCCCTGCTTGGGACGATGGCTACATTCAATTATCCCTAAGGTGTCGAAGTTTGCACGGTTCAAATGGTTGGACTTGGGTCGAGACTTCATACGCGTGATGTCTCGTCTCATGTCCAATCACTATTGTCTAAACGCTCACTTGTTCCGTGTGGGGTTGGGAGACAGCAATCTCTGTGAATGTGGACAAGGTTACCAGGACGCTGATCACATCCTTTGGTCTTGTGCGGAGTATCGTGGAGTCAGATCACATTTTTATGATTCCCTTCGGGCTCGAGGTAGATAACCTAATGTTCCAGTTCGGGATATTTTGGCTAGACGCGATCAGGAGTTTATGAAACTCATATATGTTTACTTCAAGAATGTTAACCTTAGATTGCTAGTTTGATTAACCTTGTGTTTAGTTTGTATTTTGTACGCGTAGGTTTTTTTTTTCAATGTTTGTTTTCAAGATGAATAGAAATAATGTCATGTTTTAGGATTAATTAAATATTTGTATCGTAAACCATCCAAAAAATTGTAAATCTCCACTAACCTCGAGACAACTGCGAGTACTCGGTCCAGTTCCTTTAACTTTAAATATAAGACAGTAATAATGTATAACAAAAATGGTAACTCGGCTCTGTAAAGTTCATTCGGTAATAGATATAATGTTAAATTTTGACAGTTTTTCATAAAATTTAAAAAAAATCGGAGTTTCTAATTTTGTCGGACAATTAAATTGGAGTTTTCGGATTTTACTAAACATCACGTGCTTGGAAAATGCAATAACTCATAAACCAAGCATTGTTGAAAGAACATTGTATGGTGAATTTTATGTCCAATCGACCTTTTGTCATAGATTCATCAATTTGCGACGCCGGTGGTGTAGTGGTAAGCGTGATTACCTCGCACCCCAGCAGACCTGGGTTAAATCCCAGTCGGCGCCGCTGGGATTTTCTGAGGCATTACATCTCTGATCACGCCTTTCTTTGGAAGGGAAGTAAGCCGTTGGGTCCGGTTCATGAGTTGATGGTCGATAGGTGGGCTCCAGCTGCCTCCCTGGCGTCGGTAGCATTGTTGCTCAGCACGGAAAACAAAATCGACGGAAAACAAATCGAGGGAAAAAAAAGATTCACCAATTGTACGAAGTTTTGATCGTTGAATATGGTAATGATTATTATTTTGAATAGCTCTAATGAAAGCTAGCTATGTAAATAGGATAGCTGTTAGATACTAATGATTGTTATTTTTGTATTCATGTGATTAGAGTGCATTTCCAACATACATAGTCTCTTAATCCACAATACTCAAAGATGATTGTCTATCTGAATCGGATTAGCAAAAAACAACTCTTCCTCAGCCCTTGTACAAACAAACCATCATACATATAAATGTTTCGCAATCCATCACTCTCACCTCATTCGTGGAACAGAATTCAAACATACCGAATTAACTTTCTATCCAATTGATCCAAACTCACAATGCTCAAGGTACCGGCGACTTCATCTGATCAGACATTGGATTTAGTTCTAATTCACCTATTTCCACAGATTGCTGCCATTCTAACCTGCATGTTCGTCCTCACCGCTGCCATCAACAAGTCACACCATCCGCCGGAGCATCCCAGATACAAATTCAACTATGAAGTTAAAAACCCTCATACCGGAGATTACAAGGGCCAGTGGGAGCATCGGGATGGAGATCGTGTAGTTGGAGCGTACATGCTACGGGATCCAGATGGTACTCATCGTGCCGTGAACTACAGATCAAGCAAGGGCGTTGGATTCCAAGCACACGTCAGTCGTAAAGGAACTGCTCGGCACCCGCATCACGGGCAAAGTTACTCAAACATTCATCAGTTGCACTAGTAAAATAAACGACATTAAACAAAACCTGCTCTGATTCGTTTTGAACTGCATTTTGAGAAACTTTTTAACATTATGTCAGATGCGTAAGGGTTCATAAAATGTGGCTTATGTGATAACGAATAAAATCATTGTCAACGAAGAGATTAAATCATTTTAAAAAAGTCACCAAAGCACATGTGCAGTCGACAAGTCTGGTGGGAAAACGGAAAATGACCAAAACAGGTACTATTGTCCACCCCCCAGACTAGACGATGGTGATGGTGATGGCGTTGACGACGTGCCGCTATGCCAAGTCGATCGCGCGCTTATGGATATGATATAATAACGGTATAGTTTAAACAAGCGAAAGTGGCGGACACGAGATCGTGCTGCCTTTGGAAACTTATGAGTTAATTTATTGCACATATGTTTGTGAGGGGTTTCTATCCAGTGGCGTGTGCATGTCATGAAAACTTCCCCCAGAAATGTCACGAGTATGTGGTTCGTCCAAAACGGAAAGCCCACCCCCCTGTGGTCTCAGATCTTTGCATGCTAATGTGAAAGATGGATCACTACTGATGCTGCACCTGCAGATGGTGGTGGAAGCCACGAGAAACCTCTTCCAGCGTACCGCTAATTCCAGCAAACTTTAGTTTCAATGTCTCTCAAGGCCGGCACCGCATCGCCGTTTGAAAGAGAGGCCCGACAAAGATAGCTGCTTCCAATAGTGAATGCGTGAGCAAATGTCCGAAATGATCGTAAATGAGATGATTTTTTTTTTGATTCGGGGATGCCGCACGTAGTCACTTCCACCTTCTCACAACGCGGTGCACTAGTCAATGATTCGTTCGTATAAATATTCTTCGACCAATGGTCAACGGCAACAGTTTACTCACAGCATTCATTCTAGTGCTACATTAACACCATAACGGTACAGGAGATCCAAAATGTTCAAGGTGTGTGGATTCAGTGATTTAAGTGCAAATTTGACAGTGATTTTAATCACGTTCGATTTTCGTTTCCCAGATCATTGCATTGGTTGCCTGTTTGGCCGTCGTTGTATCGGCTGAGTACTACCAGGATGAGCATCATCATCATCATGAAGAGTATCATTCTCATCCAAAGTACAAGTTCGAGTATGGTGTCAAAGACCCACACACTGGAGATCACAAGAGCCATTGGGAACACCGGGACGGAGATGTCGTAGTGGGAACCTACACTCTGGATGAAGCCGACGGAACCCACCGTATTGTGTCATACAACTCCGATGACCACAACGGATTCCAGGCTCATGTGCAGCGAGTGGGACATGCTCACCACCCACACGGTGAAAGCTATGCCAACATCAACCAGCACCACTAGAAGGAATGGGCGGTCCGAGGCAGTAACGTTTTTTCCATCAGTTAATACTTTGTTACTAGTTGTGTAATAGCAAATCATGCCAAAATAATAGAATGTTCCTCGCTTGTACAATTGAAACTTTGGTTATGTTCGTCTTAGATATCACAAAAGTGCACGTTATTGGTTTAGGGTGAAGGGTGTTACGGAGGTGATAAACTTATCCTGGAGACATGTTTCTGGAAATTTCTTAACCGGCTAACAGAAGACCCGTGCACATTTGTGAAGTGCAATGCTACAATTTCAGTAAGTTTGAATGACAGTTAGAGATGTTTGGAATAACATCTTTGTTTAAACTACAAACATTTGACAGGAATTACCACTCACCCTGTACACTGCGAATAATTTTTCAGGATCAACGCGGATCGTTTTGCAGTCTTGAACAAAGTTGATGGGCATATAAATTTCTATTATGATATTAAATTTGGTGATGTGACCTATAGACAAAACTACCCTCTTCAGACCTTTCTCTAGCTAATAAATTATCACATTTAAGCTTCCCATTAGATAGCATTTCCAACCGACTCTGATACAGAATAGTTTAAGAAAACCTTGTCCAAATATAGTTTCAAATCCTGGTTAATATAACCTTATTCGTCACAAAATCTAGAGTATGGAAATACTTGTATGCAATCAGTTTTCTTTAAAACTAAAAAATACTGGTCAGTGGATCTAAACGCTACGATGTTTAATGTTCAAAGTCTCGGTCTTTGGACTTGACCTTTCTCAGGGAACATAAATTTATGCAGACTTTCATTCAACGCAAAATGCTTCATCTCTTAAGCTTAGTCACAAACTAGCCCTGATCAAGATCGTATCCCCTGCATCGAAACGTTAACGATGACAAAACTGTAACCAGGATTTTTTATGGAAGACTGAAAATCCGAAACTGTTTATTCTACAATATTTTAAGACTTCCCCTAAAGTTCAGGCATTTCTGTACTTTGCTGTGCATCCCTGAAATTATAGAAACTGATCCAAAGATATCTGATATTCAATAAAGTTCTCAAGACTTCCTGAATTTCTCAGAACTTTAAAAGTTCCCAAAATGTCCTGTGAACTGCCTTCAAATGCTTCGGCACATCATCATCATCAGTTTTCATGTACATCTATTCAATTTTCTGAGCTTCTCTGAACTTGCCTGAAATTCCCTTTATTGTCATCAAATTCTCGGAAACTCTCTCACATTCAAACAATTTTCATGGGACTTCTCTGAAAACCCCTCAATTTTCCAGATATGTTTGGAACATCTCTGAAATTCTCGGAATGTTCTATAATTCCTCTGCACTTCATGAAAGCCCCTGCAATTAGTTAAGGAAACTGCTCTAAATTTCTCTGATACTCGGAACATCACTGAAAATAATACAACTGCCTAAAAATAATTAAACTTCTCTGAAGTAAACATTTCAGAGCATTGCTGAGAATTTCGGAGATTCCCTGAGTTTCTCAAAATTTCTGTAAACTTCCTGCAATTTCCTTGAAGTTAATTTAACTGCCCTAGGGTTCACTGTTTTTCCAGCTCAAGGATTATTTTTAAGTTTTATCGTAGTCTTCAAGTCCCAATCTAAGCCTTATAAAGCCATTATAAAACCAAAATGGTTACTAGGATGATGTCATCGAAGTTGCCTTTCTTCTTCTTCTTCTTCTTCGCATTTCAAGCTTATTGCATATCGCATATTAGCTTATTGCGTGCTCTCAACTCAGTGTTCTAGATGCACTTCCACAGTTATTAATTGAGAGCTTTCGATGCCTGTACCATTTTTGCATTGGTATAATTGTGTGGCAAGTCCAATCATACTTCTATGCCCAGGGAATTCGAGAAATTTTCCAACCCGAAAAATTCCTAGACCGAACCGGGAATTGAACCCAGCCACCTCCAGCATGGTCTTGCTTTGTAGCTGCGCTTTAACCGACTGAGCTAAGGGAGGCCCTGGAGTTTTTGAAATTCTTTTGAAATTTTTGGGACTGCCCTGAAAATCTTTCCAAAATTTGATATTTTGTAATCGTAGAATTGAACATATTTGTAGTTCTGTGGCGAATGTTTAAGCTTAATTGGTCATAAGTTAACAAAGTTACATCATGTAAAAATTGACTATTTTGTATGGAAATCGGCACGCATTGCTATTATATTGAACACAACTGTATGCCTGAAGTTTAAACACTTTACCAAAGTTCTCTAGACTCTGCTGATGGTGCTTTCCTGAATTTACAGAATTTATCATATACAGACCTTTAAAGTTCCGCAATAGTCTGGACACTCCGGAAGTTATTGCGACTGCCCATCAGATCTTCGAGCTTTCCTGAAGCTAGATTTCTAGAAATTTTTCACAATTTTTCTCAAATTCTGCAGACTTTTCTGATAATTCCTTGACAGCTCTTAAGTTTTCTGGCTATCCTTGAGGACATAGAACTTCTTAGAGGTGACAGCAGTTTCCTTGAAGCTGATGGATCTGCCTTGAAGTTGAAGCAGATATGCCCGAAATGTTACAGAAGTTTCCACATTATCCCACAGAGTTTTCATAAAACTTCGAAATCTTCGGTATTTTCTTTCATTCCTCGGAATCTCTTCCTATAAGAGGTTGTTTTTCATTATTTAAGTTTCAACCTTTTTTTTTACTCGAAATTACATATGTTATCAAGGTGACGGGTGTGTTTTTTGTAACCAGCGGTGTGTAAGTATGCTTGTGATTTTCATTGCCTCGCGGGAGGCCGGTCCACAGTGTTCGGATGTCACGCTTTCGGCGTGTAGTTCTATCGAGAGTCTCGTCACCGTGTGTGAGTTTGAACACGATTCGGTTGGCAAATTAGCCTGGGAAAGTGCTGATAATGTGTCCGTCGCGAGTTTTGGTGGTGATTCGGTGGCCGACGTTGCCGTAAATCAGTGAGTTTACAGCTTGCAAAAGTGCTCGTCTGTTGGTCTCTCGCCTAGCCGGCGCCGGTGGTGTTGTGGTAAGCGTGACTGCTAACACCCCAATGGGTCTGGGTTCAATCCCAGCCGAGGTCGGTGGGATTTTTCTGAGGCATAAAAATCTCTGGTCACGTCTTCCTTCGGAAGGGAAGTAAAGCCGTTGGTCCTGGCCCATGTGTGTTGAATGGGTGCGATATCCTACGCAGGTGTGGAAGTTGCCTGCACATTCGATTGCCGTCAATGGATGGCAATCGATGTCCGTCGGTGATTGGCACTAGATTGCGGAACAGAGACCGACGTTAAATAAAGGACAGAAGATGGTCTCTCGCCAGTGTCGAAGATTGTGAGCAAGCTGAAGGATATTTCGCTGGATACGCCCAAGGCTGGACGGGCGGTAGCTGGTGGCCGTGAATGGTTCCTGAGGAAAGCACTAGACGCGAACCTCCTCCCAGATGACCATGGCAATCAATGTTCGGAAAAACTCAAAACTCATGCATGAGTTTATGCGCCTATGAGTTTTGCCTAGCAAAATTCAACGTCTTAAAAATCACCGTGAGTTTTCAGGTTCAAAAATTCATTTATTTATATTTTGGCGTTATTTATGGTTATTACTATTGTTTGTGCATCAGGGGTTGGAAAACTAACAAAACATACATAATCATGGTATCAATTGACGTTTGAGTTTAAAGTTGGAATGATTTTTCGACGTTGTGAGTGTGAGTGCGTGAATATGCATGAGAATCTCAAGTGTGAATTGTGTTTGCCACATTCGCACGTGAGTTTATTCTCGCAAGGACACTCAATGAATGAGATTTGAGAATGATTTTCCGAACACTGATGGCAATGCAAGAAATCCCAGACAACCAAAATACACGTATATTCAAAGTTGTTTTCGTGATATACAAACATATATACAAACAAACCAGTCGTATAGAAATTGCTTATACGTACAAAAGTGGAGGCCATATACGTGCATATTTTCGTATAATTGTAAACGAGTTGATGTATCATCATATACGATTTAATCTGTAATAACAAATCAATTTTAAAAAGTCTTACGATTAAATCCGATTTAATTTGTGATACAGTACGACGGAAAAATGAGTCATCGCATATAAGTCGGGAATTTGCATTCTATGCGATTTAACTTAAACATAATGCGAGGTATGCCATTCTTATATGCGATTTTGACTTAAACTGTAGCAATTTACGATACTGTGTGTACGTTTTTATACGAATTCTGGTTGTCTGGGAAATTTGTTTTCGTTGAAGGAAGTAGTACAACGAAGGTGATTGCTATTAGATATTTTTGCAAACAGTGACAGATAGCAGACATGAAGCTCAAGTGGAGGTGCCGGGCAAAGGTGTTTTATCCTAGACAAATGGTAAAACGCTGTACAGACTGGAGAGTTATTACATGTAATAACGGTTGTCAAATAATTGCACCACAGAAACCACCATCAAGATAACGCTATAACATGTTATAACTCTGTAGTCTGAACGTACTATAAGTTACAAATTCACCGTCGTAGTCACCGTAGGCAGTACCGTTAGTATATTTAAAATTGACCATCAGCCGCTGAAACTATATGAAATATTGCGTATTTCTGTTGTTCATTACATACCAAGTGAAAACTAAATCATGTTTTGCCGTGGAGTGTTTTTGTAGTTTTGAGATGCTCGATAACCCTAGAGGTACCGGTTTTGCTTATTTATTGAGCAGAATATCATGGGTTTAATCCCAACCTCTCCCACAGCATAATAAACTACCATCGTTGGGTTCCGAAAGTAAAAAACGCAGTTAATAACCAATAGTTGAATTGTTTAAACCATGAGTTTCGGAAAGGGTGCATGCGTGAGCTAGTTTGGAAGACATTGTTGGCTGCTTTCAGAGACGTCGCTTCATTTGAATAGCTTTTTGTTAAGTCGGTCGTAGATTGTGGTAATGTATGGGGCACGGTGGCTATAGAGCAACCGTTTTTGCTAAATGAGTAGAAGATCATGGGTCAGGCCACTATTGTAGAAAATTGTTAATAACAGAAATTGAAGGAACGGTTGACTGTTGATAATTATATTTAAGATCGTAATGATTAGTTTTTTTCAGCCTTCACTCAGGTAAGATCCATTCTTTTAAATAATATATGTTAAGTTTCAGCTCTTTAAATGTATGACA